GGGGGGGACAGTCAATATTTCTCTCGCGCATCAAAGTGTCCCCATTTGGAATGGTTTTTCTGAAACATAGAACTGCTTCTGGGCATCAATCTGTATTTCTACCTCATATTTAAGTTCATCAGGTCCAATTCGATTACCTCACAACTGACCTGGCTTCTCTCTTCTGCAAGGTCATCCCATATCTTACTCATGCACCGCAAACTGAGGTAACTTTGCTTTGCGATTGACCTTACTACTAAATAAAGGGCAGGCAACTACATGAGTCAAGTAAACATTTCGTTCATTTTTTCTTCTTGATGGTCAGTGGCAATTACTCTTTAGATATTTACTATTGAGAACGACACACAATGCGTAAAGAAGCATTGGGGAATATTGCAACAACAGACAAGTTTGATGGAAAGAGAGGCAGAGGCAGACAGAGGAAAAAGATACTGGACAAGATGACAACATGGCTAGGAGCAGCAAGAACAACAAACACCATTGCCCCAACGCAAGACAGAGTGAAGTGGAGGTCCATGATCGCCCACGTCAGTCGGCAAGGCCCCGGATGATGATGATTGAGAAAGGAAACCAGTGGTCATTAACTGGAATTTAAAGAAGTTTTGTTCATAAAAAATACCAAACATGAGCTAACTCTGCAACCCACACATTGTCCTCTGTAAAAGCCATTCTGTACCATAACCAGTTTTGAATAGTATCCCAAAAGTAAAGTGACACCTTAAGTCAACTTGTACCCACATACAATTTTGCAAACAGTTTGATACTTAGTTTCACCAAATATTTTGTTAAAAAAGATCGTCGAAATAGTGCATCAAAACTCATCAACAGTATTGGAGGTCTCACTATCGAAAAGAACGTAAGTCAGAGTAAAAAGCAGCACACTTCGATATCAATAGTTTATTTGAGGGGCAGAAAGAAGTCATCAGACGAAAGAAATTGACATGTAGTGAATGGCACTTGATCGTGCTCTGTGGAAGGAATGATACAAAACCAGTACATGTATCCAACTAGGCACACTTTTCCAGTGCAGCTAACAAGTGTAATTAAAAGACAAGTAGCATCCAATACATATCTTTCTTCAAGTCTATCGACGACACCTAAGAAAGTAATATGCAACAGAAAAGCGCTTTTCATATTTATTGGAATCCATTCATCCACCTCCTTTTATTAGGAGTCTTCATCAACCTCGGTGACCTTGCATCAGTCTGCCTTGGGCAACTGCATCGGTTAAGGCCAAATTTTGTGAACGTGATGAAATTAGAGATATTTTATGGCATGACAGCCATTTAAAAGTACAAGAAAAGAGGGGTGAGAAAAATGAGATACGAGGCATGTTTTTATAACTCGAGTAAAAATCTTGAAATCTTGCTTTCACTTTTAATACTTCTGTTGCTATGAAAACGAAACTTTTGCGATGGAGTAGGTCCAAGGGCACGTTTACATTTTTAATGAAGACTTTGCAAAGTTACCCCGCCACGCAGTCATCCATATGTACCGATACTTCAAACACTGCTGGGTACTCTGTCAAAAGTGTCAAACTCTCACAGAGAATGAGAAGGGGAACAAAGAGCCAAATGGGCGAGTGCGAGTGAGTGGGTGTGATGCATACTTATACACACACACACACACACACACACACACACACACACA